GTATGAGCAGCGTCAAGGCATCATACTCTTTGGAGGTCTTCAGCGTTCCCCTCGTGATACCCAACTTATTCTTGAGTGTCACTTGCGTTAACGTATCGTCCATGAACTGCCCAAAGTACTTTTGAGCGAGCGGATTCTCATTGATTTTAGCCAGCATGGTTTCCCCAGTGTTCGTCGTAGTCGGATTTTTGACTTTCATGAGGGTATCGACGTACATACGAGTCTGGAGCAGCGTAGAGAAAGCTTCGTATTCCTTCGAGTCCGGGGCTGTGTCTTTTGTGATTCGCAGCTTGGACTTGAGCACATCCACCGTCCATTTTTCGTCTATGTACTGCTCAAAATTCCGTTGTGCAAGTTGATTCTTACCCAGTTTGGACATGAGATTCTGTTCGAGAGTCATGGCGTTCTGAGGTTTGGCTGCTGTTACGGCCTCATCCACTTTTTTTAGTGCTCCAGTGTTTTTTGTGAAACTCGCCAGCTTAGAAAGCTGCTTTGTCAGAATCTCCATTCTTCGTTCCTCATCGACTTGACCCAACTCATCGTCTAGTTGTTCGGCCGTGGGGATACGAAGGAATCTCTTGCCACTGCGCACCAACTGAGCAGCGTAGATTGATTGTATCGCATCCGTGGACGACACCTCAGATGGCGCAACTTGCTGCGCGTCGATTATTGCAGAAGCCATATCGCAGCCCCCAAAGAGAATAACTGCAGCAGTCAGCAAGTGACGCATGGTGGAAGAGGACAGAAACGGTTACGAATGTTGGGCCCCTGGAAGCAAATATCGATATGAGTCCTCTGATTGCGTTGTTTTGTGACCGGAACAGTGACACCAGAATTATAATAGGTACTCCTCTATTAATACAGCAGTCCCATCCGAAATTACATCCGATCCCAATCCCAAGAGCGGGATTTCCATTCCATTTTCTCAGCAGTCCCATCCGAAATTACATCCGATCCCGATCCCAAGAGCGGGATTTCCATTCTTGGGTCTAACGGAGTTTTCAATTTGAACCCGCGTTACATGTCACCATTTTCCCTTTTCAACCAATACTCGTTAGCAAAGCGCTACTTTTACACCAATGGAAGAAGCATCTGGATAGGAGCAATATTTAGCTGGAATCTTTGATAAATATTGTCTATCTGTAACGGGGTACGTAGCCCTAAGTGTACCCTGGTTACATGAAGTGTGACACGTCATACTTCGGGATATTTGGTACCATGTACAAAATACGCTCAAAAGCTGACGAGTCGTCCAACCGAAAGTGCGTATCTACACGATTCATGTAACTAGGGTTAATCCAAAACCTAAACATCCCTATAAATCTACCCCCGCTTAAGCTTCGCTTTATCAACCCTTCTGAATTGAAGTTGTGTTCATCAGAAGATTTTTGTTCTCGAGGGAGATATACATATCTGCTTGAAGCTCGATCGCAGAGCAGGAGCTCTTTTGCAGTTAAAGGCTCAAGC